TGGTTTTTCTTTCTTTTTTGTTTTTGGTTTTTGGAGAGTCTCAGTGTATCACCCTTGGTAGAGTGCCTTGGTGTCATAGCTCACAGCAACTTCAGTCTCTTGGGCTAAAGCGATCTTCTTGCCTCAGCCTCTTTTTTTTTTTTGGTTGCAGCCGTCATTGTTGTTTTGACGGGCCTGGGCTGGATTCAAACCCGCCACTTTAGGTGTATGTGGCTGGTGCTTTAGCCACTTGAGCCACAGGTGCGGAGCCTCTTTCTTTATTTTTTGTGGAGACAGAGTTTCACTTTATCACCCATGGTAGAGTGCCATGGCATCACACAGCTCATAGCAACTTCCAACTCCTGGGCTTAGGTGATTCCCTTGCCTCAGCCTTCTGAGTAGCAGGGACTACAGGTACCTGCCACAACGCCTGGCTATTTATTTGTTGCAGTTTGGCTGGGGCCGGGTTTGAATCCACCACCTTCGGTATATGAGGCCAGCACCCTGCCCACTGAGCCACAGGCACCGCCTTGTTTTTAATCTTAGAGGAAAACTTTCAGGCTTTCAGCATTAAGTATGATGTTGACTGTGGGCTTTTCATATATACGAATTATAGTGAGGTGAGTTTTTTCTATTATTTGTTGAGTGGTTTGTTGTTTTTTTTTTTTTTGTCAAGAAAGAATGCTTAATTTTGTCAGTTGTTTTTCTTCATCCATTGATATAGTTTTGTGAATTTTATCTCTTGTTCAGTTAACATGGTGTATCACATTGATTGACTTATGTATACTGAATCATCCTGGCATTCCAGGGATAAATCTCACTTGTTCATGGTGTAGCAGTCTTTTAACATGCTGTTGAATTTTGTTCGTTAGTATTTTGCTGAAGATTTTTGCATTTATATTGATTAGAGGATATTGACCTGTAGTTTTCTTTTCTTGTACAGTCTTTGTGTGGCTTTGGTATTTGGGTGATGCTGCCCTTATAAAATGAGTTTAGAAATTTTCCCTTCTCTTCAGGTTTTTAGAAGAATTTGAAAAGAGTTAGTATTAATTCTCTTAATATTTGGTAGAATTCAGCTGTGAAGTTGGGCTGGTCCTGGGTTTTTCATTGTTGGAGGTTTTTAATTACTAATTTAATATCATTACTAGCTATAGATCTATTCCTATTTTCTATTTGTGTGTATGTGTGTGAGAGAGACAGACAGAGAGAGAGAGAGATATTCATTCTTAGTAGATTGTATGTGTCTAGGAATTTATCCATTTATTCTACGTTATCTAATTTGTTGGTATATAATTGTTTACAGTAGTCCCTTTTCCTTTCCTTACAAAGTCCCTAAACCTTTTTCTTTCTGTGGTATCAGTTGTCATGATGCTCAGTTTCATTGTTTTTTTCTAGTGTTTTTCTCTTCTCTGTTTCATTTATTTTTGCTTTACTCTTTATCATTCCCTTCCTTCTGCTAAATCGGCTTGGTTTGTTTTTCTTTTTCTAGTTCCTTAAGGTATAAAGTTAGGTTGTTTTATGTTAGGTTCGTTCTTCTTTTAGGCTTTTATGTAAAAAGCCTAATTAAATGTTCACTCAACTCAGAACTTCCCTCTTAGTATTTCTTTTTACGCATCTTATAAGTGTTGGTGTGCTGTGTTTTCATTTTCCTTTGTCTTAAGATATGTTCTAATTCCCATTTTTATCTCTTCTTTGACTCATTGGTTGTTCGAGTGTATTTTATTTAGATTTCACATATTTATGAATTTTCCAGTTTTCCTTCTGCTATTGATTTCTAGTTTTATTCCACCATGATTGTAAAAGATACTTGTATGATTTCAATATTCTTAAATTTGTTAAGGCTTTTTCTGGGTACACTTGGGAAGAATATATGTTCTGGAGGTATTGGGTAGAATGTCCTAGACATGTCTGGTGGGGCCATTTGGGCTATGATGATGTTTCAGTCTTCTGTTTCTTGGTCTTCTGTCTTGATGTTCTATTTTTGAAGGTAAGGTATTGGAATCTCATACTGGTATTGTATCAGTATGGATTCTTCCTTCAGTTCTATCAATGTTTGCTTTATAAGTTTGGATGCTCTGAAGTTTGGTTCATGTAGCTTTTATAATTGTTATATCTTTCTGGTGAATTAAGCTTTTATTATTATATAATGTCCTTCTTTGTGCCTTGTGACAGTTTTTGACTTAAAGTTTATTTTGTTGGCTCGGTGCCTATAGCTCAACCGGCTAAGGCGCCAGCCACGTACACCTAAGGTGGTGGGTTCGAATCCCCAG